ACACTGAGATACCATCTCACTCCTGAAAGAATGGCCAGGATCAAGAAAACCAACAACAAATGCTGGAGAGGCTGTGGGGAAAAAGGAACTCTCCTGCACTGTTGGTGGGAGTGTAGACTGGTACAACCTTTGTGGAGGTCAGTCTGGAGATTCCTCAGAAAGCTGGAACTGGAAGCACCATTTGGACCCAGCTATTCTACTTCTAGGCATATTCCCAGAAGAACTGAAAACATCATACCACAGTGATATATGTGCACCCATGTTTATAGCAGCACAATTTGTAATCGCCAGATCTTGGAAACAACCCAAGTGTCCATCAACTGAGGAATGGATAAAAAAGTTGTGGTATTTCTATACAATGGAGTATTATTCAGCTATAAAGAAGGATCATATTGAGATATTTATCAATAAGTGGGCGCAGCTTGAGACCATACTCATAAGTGAAATAAATCAATCTCGCATGTGTGAATACCGAATAGTTTCCCTAATGTAAGTAATGATTCAAATATATAAAAATATATGGTAATCATGATTCCCCATTATGTGGCCTTGAAGCCTTATAAAATTTTCACTTATTAATTAGAAAGGCTTTATTCTGGGCTTCTTGATATGGAAATATTTGAAGCTATAGTATATGAAGTTTTATCCAAATATTTCAAGGAAAAAGACAGACACTATGGTAACTACTATTAAGTCGGGTTATTTGGTGGTGAAGCACTAGGTTGCTGAAACAGTCATGCTTTGACCTCTACTGTTATATTGTTATGTCCTGTTTTAACTCAATCTCTCCCTTATTCTTTAAAAAAATTATTTAGTTATTTCTTATGTTTGTTTTAATTAAGGGGAAAAATTTAAAAAATTAGGATATATAATAGTAACTCTTTTTGATTTCCTATTAACTTGTTTTGAAGTCCTGTAATACTCCCAAGATCTTGTTTTGACTGATTAGACTCTGTTCCATTCTGTGCGATGGTATCAAGTTTGAGGGTATAGGCAACTACTTTAAAGGCAATAAGATTCACTAAGATGCCCATTCTGGTTTGACTATTGTCTCCTTTGGAAGTCCTGTAATGTTTACAATGCCTAAGTTTTATTGGTCTTGTTCTCTACTGTTTTGTCCAACTTTATAACATCTAATGAGATAGACAATTCTTTTTAAGGAAACGAGACAACGTTGATAACCATTGTTGATAACCTTGTACTCTGTTCTACATCATGTGCTATGTCTATCCTTGGTTTTGACTGACAGCTTTGTTTTGCCATATTTGACTTTATTCTCTCCCCCCCCAAAAAAGTAATAAGAACTAAGGAGTAATAAAATCCAAAATGTGTAAATTTTGTTGTAAAAAAGAGGGGGAAAAAAAAGAGCTCTAACGGATATAACAGCAAGTGTGTTTAGGGGTGTTAAATATTAATGTTTTTGAATCATTGAACACAGCTGTTTGCAGTCTCTCTGTTTGAATGTCCACTTTGTATTCTTTGATACTGTGATTTGAGCAACTATTTCCAAGATGATAATATGTAATCTATTAACAGGTGATTTCTTACTGTTATGTTTTCTTTTCTTTGTAGTTCTATATTATGTGTACCCTTACACCGCTTTGTTTTGTTTTGTTTTTTCTCTTTTTCCTCTTAAATAAAATTTAAAAAAAAAGAAAAAAAAAGATTTGGTCTTTCTGGAAAGCAACTGGCAGCAGAAAAATAGCTGTGAAACTCAAAAGTGAACATTAGCGCAAGCATCAGAGCCTGTGGTTTCAAGAGGCTACTTTCCTGATATTTGCCACTGCTGATTTTTCTCACTTGGGATGAAGTCAATAGGCAGTTTAGTCACACAAGTCCATCCGTGAATCTAAAATTCATGCTTTCCCTCAGAACTTCAAAAATAAATATTATTTTAATTTGTTTTGCCCAAGGCATAAACTACACAAGGACAAGACACTGCTGATCTAATGCATATCCCAAATTATGCTTATTCTTGTCATCTAATCAAATTTACCAAAAAGACTATAATCACAGTACACCAGATAATATCAGATGTTCTAATTTCTAAAATCATTAAGCAAAAAAAAAAATAAAATCATTAAGCAATCAGTAACTATTTGCTTAATGAGATTAATTAAATTTTCTGTCACATACAGAATTTAACCTCTCAAATTCTTCCAAATTAACCTTGTTCCAACACAGAAGTTAAATTCTAACAAAAGCATTTTGGTCACTACTGTGCCCCAACGAGTGCCAAAGCATCCGTTCTTCCAGGAACTGACTTCTCATACTTCTTGACTCCCAGAAGGGAAGGGGAAGGGGGCTCGCTGAAGTCTGGGTCTATCAGAATCAAAGTATGTCTTTCAGCTCTGGCGAGTTTCCAGTGGTACAGGCTTAGCTTCAACAGAAACAAGCAGATTTGACTGGAATTAGACACAAAAACTATAATCCACCTTTAAAATTTAAAACCCCAAACAAGCAAACACGAACACTGTAGTAGCTTCCATAGAAATCATAGCATTATTAGGAAAAGTGGTGTTCATAAAGTTACACATAGCTTACAATTATAAAATTATAAGGCTGCTACCAATCAAACACATGTGATGTTTTAGAAAAAGGAGAAAAAATGTTTCAGAAAAAGGAGAAGGGATGATTCACAAAAGGGAGAAGGGAGGGAAAAGCTTCTTGACTTCAGCTTTTCCGAGGTATCCGCCAGTCAGTAACAGCCATCGAGAATCCACCACCTGCAAAATATTAGGAGAAATTCCCAGTTTAAAAAGTGCAACATTCCTAGTCCCTCTTTGTTCAGGTAAACAGGTAAAATAAATAAATAAAATCAGAATATAAATAAGTTCAGACTTGTATGTCTGCCCATAGTGATAAAACTGGTTAATCTGGGTAAGGGAATAATCAATTAATTTTTTCAATGATTTGTTTCAAATGTTCTGTGCAGGAAACTTATTTTTTAGAAGGAGGTCTTAGAAAGCTTCTTTCTGAAGGGCTTCCATTCTCACTTACCTTCCTGAAGTTACTGCATTTGCCCTGGGTAAGTATCATCACTCTCAATTTGGACATGGATCTTCTTGCATTTATAGCAGGCGATGCGCCACGGAAAATTCATCCTTTTACACCATGTGCAGACCCAGTTCTCTGGAGTATAGCACAAATCAGACTTCTGTTGCAATTCCTGGGCCTTTTTCTCTTGTGCTTGCTTGGTATTCTGCAGCTGAGGCTGCTGCTTCTTAGGGCTTTCTTTAACAGCTTGACTCCAGCTCTTCCACAAAGTGATGTCTTTGGCTATATCTGCACTTGTTTCCACGTCCTGATTTTTCATGTCTGGGAGAATCAAGCACTGCATTCTCTCTTCATCTCTATGATTTCTGTTGAACTCTAAGGATATTGCATCCTGAGCTTTTCCTACATTTTCCTGGCTATGGCTTCTTGTGATCCCTGGTAATATCACAGACTGAATGTATTCTGTAACTTTTCCCCTACTTTGACTTCTGCTGATGCCTAGATATGTCATATCATCCTGAACTCTCTCTATGCTGTCTCCCTGGCAACGAATACTTTTGAAACCTGGAGGTGTCGCAATGCGGGCCTTTTGACCATTTTCCTGGTTGTATTTTGTATTGTTTCCCAAGGAAACCATCTCCTGAGGTCTCTCTTGATATTCTTGTTGGTAGTATTGCCAGTTTTCTCCGAGGAAAGGCATTCCCTGGGGCCACAGTTGACGTGGTTCCTGGGTGTAGTTTCCTCTGTCCTGCTGGGGTGCTACTCCCAGGGACTTCTCCATGTCTTCCTCTTGTCTGAAGCATCCGCTTTCCCCAGGGACAAGCACTCCCTGAGGCATTTGCAGATGTTCCACGTTGAGGCTGTTGTTCCCTGAGGCTGATTCTTGCAGCATCTCAAGGCCTCCCAACACGTTGTAGCAACTCTGGTCCCACAGAGGCACCATCTGCTCCTGGAACCCTCCTCCAGCAGATAGTCCAGGTGGGTACATCCCCACAGGTGGCATCTGAAATTGGACTCCCATCTCTCTTTCAGTGAAAGCTGAGGGTGCTGGAGGCTGCAAGGATTGCAATCTCATGGAGAATGGTGCATGAAGCGGAAAGGGCTGAGGCATTAGAACGGGAAATGGAGATGGCATAGTTGGAACCCAGGAAGTTGGCAGGTAAAAAGCACTTGTTGGGGCTCCTACTGGGTTCTCGAAAAGCAGCCTGTTGTATTCTCCCATGGCCCACACATCTCTTTGTTGTTCTATGGGCCATGCTGTGGCCCCAAGTTGCGGGGCTTGTAGTCCAGGCTCTACATCTTGTGATACTGGGGCAATCTGTGCACACCTCTCAAACTGGAACAGCCTCCCAAGGAGCATATTGCACTCATTCTGTGCATGCTGCAGAGCAGACCTTGTAACGTGCAGCTGCGCAGTCGCCTGGTCTCGCTGCTGACGCAGCTGTTGTAGCTCCGAAGCCAGAGCCCAAGAGAGGGCCTCACGGTTCCCTAGCTGTTCCTTCAGCCGCCTAACCCGACGCATGTGCTGCTCTCGTTGTCCAGTGGCCACTCTTACTGCCAAGGCCAGTGCACTCCACGCGCAGGCCCTCTTGTGGTTGCGCGGCATCTGCTGGTCACCCAAGATGTTATGAAGACCATCCTCTATCTCACTCCATGACCGCGAGCGGAAGGTCAAATAGAAGTCTTGGCCCCCACCGTTCATTAGGATTTCATTATTGATGAACCGGATCACTTCCGTGTGACGAAATCCGCTGTTAGGGTCCCCAAACCCAACGGCCATGGCTATTGTGATCCGGTCAAAAGTGATCAGTTCAGGTAGCTCCGACCCCAATAAAGGGAGCCGGTATCAAGCTAGTTTCCCCTCACCAGCTCAGTTCTCGGCCACTCCTGGCCTTTAGCGAGGTTTCCTGCCTCCCTCAACCCTTCATGTCCGAGAACATACTCACTCAACCGTCCCACAGGTACCTCTGGTGAGCACCCAGCTAACACGCAACAAAGGGACGCTCTACGTCACGGCGTACGCCTACGTCATGGCGTACGTCTGCCTCATGGCCTACGCCTGCCGCAAGGACTGCTGGGATCAGACTCAGCACAGCGCCACCTACAGGAAGAAGCGGCGATGTGACTGGAATGCTGGCTGCCAGAGAAACAACAGAAACTTTGTTTCCAAAATTTTGGGAAGCATAATATCCAAAATGGTATAATAGACCCCTAGTCAGGTGCTGCAATTGGATAGGTGAGTATATAAAGCCGGTTGTTATCTCAGCTTCATCTTGTCTGCTTTCATGTACTACAAATTTTCATGGGATCAGTCATGGTCTCTGAACATTTCTCTCCTGATCCTGAAAGGATGAATTAATCCCTGTCATCAGGGCTGGGGATATAGCTTAGCAGCAAAAGCACCTGCATGGCAAGCACAAGGCAATGAATTTGATCTCTGGTACAAAAAAAGTAAAATATAAAAATAAAATTATATATATATATATATATATATATATATATATATATATGGCATCTTGCCCATTTGCTGGGAAAAATTCCAAATTGTAACTTTAAAGGGCCTGCCTGGCAAGCCCAAGGTTGTGAGTTTGATCCGCAGTAAAAAAAAAAAAAAATCCTTGTCATCAAGATAATCAAGTAATTTAGCCATGAAATAAATACCTGAACCTATCTGTAAATTTGTTCCCATTTTTATCTGCTCAGCCCTGATCTCAGAGAGTACCTGTCTTTTGAGACTAAATGTTCCTCCTATGATCTGGATATTCCATCGAAGAATTGCCATAGGAGTCCTCTAGGATACACTAGGCTTCAACCTAAACAAAGCAATAAAGCTCATGATAAAGGTAACTGTACTGATAAACACAAAAGAAAGTATTAATGTATTTTTGGCATGCAAATCCTCTTTAACATATGCTTTAAAAAGCAGCTGCATAAAAAATATATATCTATGTTGGTAGTCACATACTATGTAAAGATGTAATGTATGTCAGTAACAACATGTGAAACACCTATATCTATGCAAATATTTTGGTAGAATATTCAAAGTAAATTGGCATTAATCTGAAATATATTGTCCAAAGTTAATATTGCAATATGGCCTCCATATAAACTACTAATAACTACAAAATATATAGAAAAGGTAATGTAAGAAAATAAAAACAGCAACCACAAAAAATTAATTAAATGTCAAAGAAGGCAGTAAAAGACAAAATGAGGAATGAAGACATATTAAATACATATATTTAAATACAAATAGAAAATAAAAAATCAGAAGTCATTCCTTTTCAGTAAGTATAATAAATATGAGTGAATTTTAAAAGGCAAAGATTAGAAGAGTGGATATCTTTTTTAAAAACATATCTAAATATATGTTGTATGCAAAGTTCTGCTTTTTGATCCAAAGAGGTTGAAATTAAATGACTAAAAAAGATTATTTCATACAAGCAACTAATTGAGAGCTAAAGTAAGTGTACAAATATCAGAGAAAATACATTTTAAGACAAAAATTACTGAAAATGCAAAGTAGGTTATTATGTAATGTTTACTAGTTTAATCTGTCAAGAAACTGTATAAATTATATATACACCAGCAAAGCCCAAAAATACATGCATAAATGGGTAGAATATTGGGAGATATAGCAGTTCTACAATAACAGTTGGATAATTCAATACAAAATATCATAGGAAAAATTACAATATTAATAGAAATATACAACAATTTATTAACACTATCAAACAAATATACCTACCAGCCATCTAGTTAATAGTCAATTGCCAAAGGAAAAAACAGCATATTTTTCCTCAAGGAAACATGAAAAATTTCCCAAGATGGGATATATTTTGGGCCCTAAAAGAAGCCTCAAAAAATTTAAATGCTTGATGCCATAGGAAATATGTCCTCTGGCCATCATAGAGTAAAGTTGAAAAATAGTTAATAGATGGAAATTTGCAAAATATACAAATACATTGTTATCATTTAGATTTAGAATGTTTGCCAAGAGTTTCAGTTGTGCAGAGATATGGATTTTAAAAGGTGATTGGATGATAGGGATGCTATAGTCATCACTAAATTGATCCACAAATGAATTCATAGCTGAATGTGCTGTTAACAGGTGCCATTAATGTGCTGATTGGAAGAGGTGTGCTCCTGGGTATGTCTTCCTTTCTCTCCACTTCCTGGCTACCATGAGGTGACCAGCTTTCTTCCACCATTGAATATTGCCTTTTGGTCATGATGTTTCTATCTTAGAGCCATGTGGAAATAATGACTATTCCATGATTTCTATAATCTTCTTTAAAATTCAGACTGAAAAATAAGGGTATATCCATGTTATGACTCTAATCCAAGAAAAGACATACACATTCCTAAAAAAATTCACCACATCCAAACTGATGTACCTATCTTTTGGGAAAGTGTTTCCATATATGGTTAAACTTTATAACAACTTCAAACTATTTCAAATTAATGGAACCACACTTCATAAATGTCAAGGTGTTTAAAAGTTATTAAGTTTAAAATACTTTGGCTCTTGCGACCTTTATGGAATCAATTTATACTGTACTGAAACAGGAAGGTGATATACAATGGCCTACAAAGTGATATTTAAAAGGTAACTTGACTGAGTTATGTATCAATGGTAACATCACAAATACCACACTTTATTTTGCAGGTGAGCAAGTTTGCAAAGTATAAATGTATGTTTACAAGAAAGTAGAACAACTCAATTGCATAAATTAATCAATCTGAGAAACCACATTAAAAACATAGCTAAATTTTTCACAATTTTCAGTAAGTTCAAATACTTTCAATTTTAGTATAACCTCTGTCACAAAACTTTCATAACAACTTTAAATGATAACCATTGGTGATAACGAAAGGAAAATAACATTTTAAAGTTCATCATATTAGTATGTATCTATACTTGTGCAGATTTAATCTCCCAGGAGCCAAAGGTGGTAAATAGAATAAAGAAAAGGCATATACATATAAACATAAGCTGAGTATATGCTGAGTATCGAGAAATAGTTTTCATACTGCTTAAAAATTTATCCCCTTTATTCATTTGCTGTCTTTTTTTGTGCTTTGCACTCGGAGTGGCCTATTCAATACAGCTGCCCAAGAGACACATCACAAATGGAACTAGCTTGGCAGTTATTCTCAGAAATACCAAAGTGATGTCCCTTGTTTAATTTTCCCATGTGAGCACAACTTCATAGTCAGTAACACAAATATAAGCATGGCTGAACACAGTGTCACATTTTAAGCAAATAAAATTGGCCTTCAACAGCTGGGGATTTAGTTCAGTGGCATAAGCACCTGCCTAGCAAGCGCAAGGTCATGAGTTTGATCCTCGGTACAAAAAAAATTGCAGTCAATTTCATCTAACCCATATGACAGCATATATATATATATATATATATATATATATATATATATGCCTATATATGGTAAAATTAGCCATAACAAGTAATACACTTAAGTTCATTTTTTGAAAACTGATTTTTTTATTTTGTATCCCCTATTTGTTTTCTAATGTATGTAAATAATATCATTATTGAACATTTTGTCTAAAACTTAAGCCTTCTCACTTTAATCCTAGCCATAAATATACTTATGCACACAACTTCTTATGTCTGTTCACATTCTAACATACCCTAGAGTACTCAAAAAAGCAGTGATTCTGCGACATTAAGCTCTAGCCTACTAATTAGCAGGCAAGTCACACTTAGAGCACCACACTTGGCAGGGGAGGATGGGACAGACGAGTCACTAGACAAATGTGAAAGTGTGAAACAAAGCAGAATGGACTCTGAATTGTCAAGTAACTGAGGGACTAAAGGTTGGAGCAGAAGGTAGAAGGCTGTATCAGAAAGCTAAGAACCAAGAGAGGAACAGATTTATGAGTAGCTAATTATCTCAGGACAAGCAGTGACTACTTATACAGAATGACTAGGGTCACTGCTATTAAGAAAAATCACTTGACCAGAATTGGAGGAAACCGACAGGCCCCAGGACTTCATAGAAACAGTCTATCAGTAATTTAGCATCCAAAATACATTTATACCATTAATATAAGTACATTTATACCAGAGTGTAAAATTAGTAATACTGTAGTTTTGATCTAATGGCAAGAGGAAACTCTTGAGAACACTAGATACTTGAAGGTCAATTGGCTATACTTGAAGGTTTGTTCTGATGGCAGAACAACAAAAGGTGTCTAATTTTCACTGGTAAAGGCAGTACAAACACAACACAGTCTGTCTTTGAAATGTCACTTAAACTTTTTTCCCATCATACTGTTGAGCCTTGAACACTAAAGTTCAGATTGTTACTGTAAAGGGATAGGCGACAGGGAGAACAAGTAGGACTTTATCCCCATTTTCCTAACCTAAGGTCAGGCCTAGAAAGCCAGTGATTTTCCTTCCAGATCTGGCTAAAGGATAAGAAGAGGGAACAGTGAATTTCCCACCAATTCTGCCAGTACCTGAGTTCCATAATCTGATGCTTTTCCCAATGCAGTGGCTAGTATGGCAGCAGACTACTTATTTAAGGTGCTACGTCATTGTCTGGAAATCTGGGATTGATTCATACTTAAAAGAAGCCAAATCACAGAGTGCTTTGTGCCAGATAAGGATACCAATTACTTATCACCCAAATAAGCATCACACACACACACACACACACACACACACACACACTTTAGTGCATACAGATCCATAGAGGCCAACATCCAGCCCTGCTCTCACACTGGCTGAGATCACACTCAGAGCCCTCTTTACTCATCAGGATGTTCCCTTGTACTCTGAACTGCCAGATGTCATCTCTCTCAGGAATCTACCTTTTCTCATCTGCTCTTACTGACCCGCAGCAGCAAAAAAGTTTTTGACATTTTATTGTCATAACAACAGTTAGGATTTAGATGGAGTGACTATCATGCAAAAAAATGGTGCAGATTAATTCATTTGATCCTCTACTTCAATGAATTACAAGTATAATTATTATT